CCATCTTCTCAAAAGGGGAGGTGATATGTATCCACATATATATATTTATGTGTGTGTGTGCATGTTGGTCTCTCTTTCTGTTTGCTCGGTTAGTCTGTGACCACTTCACTTGTATGAACTTGTCTCCTTTAATAATGTGTATTCTCCTTATATTATATTATATATAATATGAGTGTTTGTTGACAGTCCGTTGCTTGGTGACATATATCCATATATGTTGTTGTTGGCATGTCTGCTATATTCGCTATGTATAATTGGATCGACACTCCATTATAATTAGCCATTCATGTTAAGACTGTCTAATGATTTTTCCCACGCTTGTCTGAAATATTTATATATATTTCGCATTCACAATTTGTGTGAACTACTTTACTTACTTACCACTTTGGTGTGAGACCATTTATTTTCGTCTCCTTGTGTTTGGACAATAGAAGTATCATCGCAAACCTAGTGGTCTTCTGATTTCCGCCTTCTCGCGTCAGGACTATTAGTTTCTCGACCAGTCCATAACAATAACTTAGCGACGAGTACATAACAGAAAGGTAAGACAAACCTTTATGTTCAGTGTGGAAATTTGCTGCAATCAACATAAAGTACTAGATTCAGATTTTTAACACTAATGTCAAGTCAGCACTTTTAAATGTTTGAGAGACTTGGTACACGTGCTACGAAAGGCATTCCCAATACATTGTAGACTTCTCTTGATACTGAAGGTCGAATAGCTGGTGATATCGTGTGACAAGCCATCGCTTGAGTGTAACCCAAGTGGGGATCGACGAGCTGAGCTTCTGGGTGACACGAAGATAGCATGAGTGGGAGGTGAGAGCTTATAAACAGCCATGGGACCAATCACAAAGGACCACAGAGAACAGGATGAAATAGAGATGTGCTTCCATTGAAGCCTTATTTTCTACTAGGGACCTGAGGGAATAACTGTAAGCCATATCAGCAACTTTGAAATTTGAATGAATACCAGTAATGTCAGTTCTCCTCCATGGACGACATTGTTAGACATCAATTAATGGTGAATTGGATAACAGATATTCTTAAATTCTATACCCGACTGACGGCTGCTACCTTGACGTAGTGGTCAGCTTTGCACATCGCAATGACCCAACAAGCTACACTGGCTGGAACTGATCTTCTTGCAGGTCCCACCATGCCAGGAAGACTGTTAGGATAGCGATTAGACTAAAAGCAATTACCGGCTAAGTGTAAGAATTTTTTTGCACTATACTGGGGGTCTGTGGGCGAAGTCGTACTACTGGGGAATAGGGATGTAACAGTGTTTTCCTCAGATGACCAGCATGTCAACTATGCTGTCTCCTCACTCTGGAGAGAGAGAGGGTTAGAAAAGGTCAACCCCAAAAATTGTACGGTCGTCCGTAACCGGCGGTAAGTTTACTAATACGGAACCAAACCAAGAAACCAGTTCAGACAGGTCGTGTGTGACTGGCCTCAAGCGCTTCTTCTCTCAGCTCTGCAGTCACACAACACTAACTCTCTTTCTGTCTCAAGTATTCAAAGAATCAATCAACTTCCACAGTGTATTTAGGCAGGAAACAACAACCACCCACACACTTCAAAAAGCACACGAAGCCCTTCTGAGCATCATTCTCCTTAACTCACATCGCCCTCATCATCTTATTTTCCTACTACAATTAGTACTATTCTGCAGCTTAGTGGGTCATCTTCACTTCCCTCCGTGACCACAAATAACGATGAGAGCCATAGAAACACCTTAGACAGCCTCTTGAAGCCACGTCGCCAATTTCATTTAGGGGCATTCAACGTCAGGACCCTCTGCCAATTCGGACAGCAGGCATCACTAGCAAGAACTCTAGCGTCTCGAGCTACGGATGTATGTTGTGTCTCGGAGACACGCATACAAGGCCTGAGTGTGGTCTTCCACTTAATCATAGCCGGCCAACGATGTAAATCTGTAAAATTAACTTTACTGGTGTCAGAAGACTCCTCAGCTAGTTGTTCGCGAGGAATTGCAGGTGTAGGGATAGCTTTGAGTGTTAGTGCAGAATAATTAATTCTTGACTGGATCTCGGGAGATAATCCTATGTGTGCGATCCGTCAGAAGAAGGAAGGGCGGCGTCACCCATCGTTGTCTTGTCCTAGTCTCCGCTTACAGACTGCAGTTCGGACGAACTACAGGATGACTCCCACCTGAAACTGTCTAATTTGCTTCAAAAAGCAAAACGTTCAGATACAGTTGTTTTAACAGGCAAATTCAATGGCCAAGTAGGGAAATTGTGCCAGACTTAGAAGTATGTAGGTGGTACGTATAGAGTTCCCTGCCGACGAAGCGACAACCGTGATCGTCTTCTGCAGTGCTATTCAGATAATCATCTGTTTCTAGTCAGCATTAACTTTAGGCACAAAAAAGATACTGCGCAACTTGGTGTTCTCCCTCACCAAATCAAAGCTGGACTCAGGTAGACCACATAGCGATAGGGCATCGCTGGCGAGGGTCAGTAGAAGACTGCTGCTTCTTCAGGAACACGTGCGTAGATTGCGATCACACCCTAGTTCGCGCACTTTTGTGCTTACGTCTAAAGGGACATAAAGAGTTGTTGGCAGCAAAGCAGTTACGTCACAACTACATTGAGACTCTGAGTACCTATTTAAGGAAGAAATAGTGAAACGAGTACCTGAGGTTGATAGCAGGACACCTCCTGAGGTAGCCTGGTACAACATACAGTTAGCTGTAGGCACAGCTGTAAAAGCTGTTAATAACCTGAAGCCGAAAGTTAGTAAGAGCCATTGGATTCCTAACACCTCATCCTAACTGACCAAGAGAAGAAGACTGATCCCGGCGAGCTCCAATTATGATGAGGAGCGAAAGTTATTCAAACACAAACTAAAAAGAAGCCTTCGTAACGACCGTGAACAGTGGTGGGCGACGAAAGTGAAAGAGATGGAAAAGGCATCGCAATTCGTAACATCAGACAACTATTTAGACTCATCATGGAAACAGGTGGTAAAAGGCAAACGATAGTGCAACTATCTCAGAGAAATGGCACCATAATTAGCTCCCAGGATAGACGACTGGAACGTTGAAAAGAACACTTTGAGGAGCAATTCAATTGTCCTGCAGCCACGGTCAACTTACCCAATACCTTCCTGAGTGGGATATAGACACAGGTCCTCCGTTCCTGAATGAGGTTACAAAAGCTGTCACTAGTCTGAAACGAGGCAAAGCAGCAGGAACTGATGGAATGACTCCAGAGGTGTTAAAGGGCGGTGAAGACAGTTTACTGTCTGCGTTAACATGGGGATTAGCTTGATTAATTTGATATCTAAAGTTCTGGACTCAGTAATCGTGAGGAGACTAAGCGGTTCTCGGGAGGCACAAAATCGAGAGAACCAGACAGACTTTAGACCAAGAAGAGGAGGTATTGATCATATCTTTACCCTCTCACAGATTCTGGGACATAGACATACTTACTGGCGTCCAACAGTTGTCATGTTTCTTGAACAGAAAGAGGGATTCGATTCCATCGACCGAGGGTATTATGGCAATGTTTGGCTAGGAACGGAATGATGACAAAATGCATTGCACTGATCAAAGCACTCTACTCGAACTCATGCAGCTAGGTGAGAGCTTACGGCTAATTTTCATCTTAAGTGCTAACAACTAGTCGTGTCCATCAGGGATTCCCACTGTTCCCATTTCCATTAAACTTCATCATAGATATACTAATGGGAATAAACTTAACTGACTTCAGCGACTCAGTGACTGACTTGTCTGCTATCAGGGAATAATCTCGTTGACTTAGAATATGCAGATGATAAAGTCCTTCCTACCTTCTAGGTGAAGCCATTGACATAATGCAGGGTCTTCTGAACACCTTGAGCTGGAATCTTCGAATGTTTGGCATGTGATTCGCTCCCACCAAATTAAGATGATGTTACGGGACTGGAATTCATTGACGCCTAGCTTAAGGACAGACAAACGACGAGGCTGTGAAACTACATCGATTGAGATGGTTAGGACATGTGTTGCGTAAGGCTAGCCATCGCCTTCCTCGACAATGGGCAGCGTTAGCTGACATAGGATGAATCAGGTTGGAAAAGAGGAAGCTAGTGGTGGTCAAACCCAAACATGGCTTCATCAGTCAATGAAATCCACAAGTTGTTTTAAACCAGTCATGTAGGACGGTGTAGACTTGCTGTTTGGGGTCCTCGGGATGGTAAGAACTAATGAAGACTGGTGACAATTGGTGATATGGCTGAAAATCGTCCTCAATGACAGCGCAGATGCAACCACTCCTTCAGACTTATAATATCCAATAAAACTAAATTGTTCTTCGATATTACTATTCTTTTCGCATCATATCTCTGTTTTGCATTTGGTTTTACTTTTTTACTTGCTTTGTGTGCTCAGTGAAGTGTGGCAACTCGAACCGTTGCAAATGGGTGCAAAATTCTACGCTGAAACCAGTCTATCAGTGAATTAGTTCTATACACGCTGAAACATCTACACCGACTTCTCCGTGAATTAGAAAGCAGTTTGATCACAGAGATAAGAAAACGAAGCTTAGACTAGTTATTTTTATCTGCAAACAAATTAAGGTGGTTCCGGTGAAGAATATTAAAGTGATATAACATACTAGCTGCGAAGAGTATGAATTATGAGTTTTACCTATGGGAATTCACTCGAAAATTATTCATGGAACTTAATCCCTCGTTTGTGTTAAGTTTCACAACACGAATTGTCTAGTGTCATTAATAAACACGGAAGAAAATGAACACTTAAATTATATTTGGCAGATGATTATCGTTCTCTTACTTTGGGTACTACTGATAACTGAAGTAAAAACAATGAATAAAACTCTGCCTCAAACGATATTTATTATGACGGTATCGCAAACTCCTAACTAGTTTTTTAGTAAAATTAGCCAATAAAAGAGGAGAGAACTTGCAGACATCAAACAATATTATACCAACGATTATGATAGAAATTTAGGTTAAATGAAAATTCGTACCTGGGTGATATAGAAGAGCGCTCTTTTTGTACGCCTGCTTTATCTCATCAAAAGACGCATTCTTTTTTAAACCAAGGATCTTATAGTAGTCACGCTGTTGAGATCTAGACAGGGCGGCTTTAGCAGCTTGTAACGACTTTTTATTTTCTGATGACCCGTCCAATTTTACCACTGCAGTCCACTCTTCAATGGCTTTTTCATATTCATCAAGAGATGAATAGCTAGATTTGAAGACAATAAACATTCGTTTAAATATTATGAATTGTGAAAGGTAATCAACGCTAGGAATGAGGTTACTACAAAAGGTAAAACGCAGAAGAGAAATAAAATGAACCACGAAACACAGCTACCAATAATCAATAAAATAAGAGAAAAGAATAGAAAGACTTCTATTACTCAAATGATACGTCGGGCTTCAATCATGATTCGAAACTTTGAGCATATCATCGGTCACCTTTGCGAGAATGCATAATACGAATACTGTCAAGATAAAATAGTTTATAGATGGTTTCACTTTCACACACTCAAGATTAAACATAAATGTGAAGAATGCGAGGAACTAGGTGAATAATACCAGACGCAGTTAATTCAGTTTTAAAAAAGTTAATTAGTATTTCTTGAATTTAAAACATACGGCTAAAAGATTAAAAAGTAACTTGTATTTGATTACCAGTGGACACTAGTCAGCAGTTGGAGACTACATTAGCAGGCTTGTTCATCTGTTACATAAATTTCATTTTATTTGACTTAAAATTCACACATGATACAGTATGAGCATCTAGGGATGAGCCAAAAAAGCAATATAACCATGATTTAAGAAGAGTGGGAATAGAGTCAGCTAAGAAGGACATCCAAGAAGCATGTAAGCATGCCTAACAAGAGCATTTAAAGAATGGCTCACTACTTTATGTTACATCCAAAGAGTGAAGAAAGGAAACTGCAACCTGTCCGCTACTGATAGCGTTTCTCGATTATGTCTGATAAAGTCTTGAGCTATGGGTTCAGATTACTTCTCGGACAAGACACAGGGTCCAAATAGACGAGGAAATACAAGGTGATGACTTAAAAAACTAGAATCGAAACAGGAGTGGGGCAGATTTAAATGCTTAATGGGGGCCAACAACAGCATAAAGTAGTATTATAGATACTCTGAAAATATACTCATTTTCAAACAAAGGAGAAAAGCAATGACATTTAAATGCAACCTAGCATGTTTAGACGGAAGAAACATTCCTGAAAATGTGTATTTTTAAAATGTTATATACAATTTCATAAGGTGACACTTGGCGGATACAGTATACAAAAGATAGGCCCCATAAACGACCTGGTACGGGTGACGGTGGGTACACTTCGTACTTCCTCTCAAAATGCTCTCATGCGGCCACACGTACATATCCTCCACCAGGTGGGTTCTGTCCACTGGTTTCATGATGATGGTATTCCTCACAAAGTTGAAAGGGCGAGTGCGAACGTCTGGTACCTACAGCCGAACAGGTAGATATACAGGTCTACTTAGGGGGACCGGAAAACTGATTCCAAACCTATGGTATGTGTATATGGGCTCCAGGATCCGAAAGGATCGAATGGCGTGTGAACTTGTCTTAGTCACTGGCCATCAGGGCAACGTAGCTTCTGACGCCAACCCACTACATTGTAGGCCAGGCTCCAAGCTATAAGCTGCGGACATTCCCTTAAGAAAACAATCTGCTTAGGTGTGAGTGCCCAGGTAGTATCCCAGCTTTCGCAAACTATGAGATTTTGTGTGGCACATCTCTTAGTGCCTATGCTGTGAAGAGTTGTTTTTAACGATAACAGTAATATGATAGATGCAGCTCATGTAAAAATATACAGAAATTTTGATTCGATAAATATAAGACGTTGTTAGTATGCTACTACTTCAGTTAAGGGTATTCAAGTGAAACACGATAAAGTAAAAGAGATATGAATCCAAACTAGTTGATCGGAAATTACAGTGTAATGACTAGCATATGCAACAATAACTTCGTGACGAAAAAACTTTTAATAGAAAATTACGAAAATGGAATCAAAAATTACCACTTAGCCCGACGAATACGAGCCTTCACATAGTTCGGTTCCAAAGAAACTGCTGCATCACAATCTTTTAGGGCTTCTTCAAAACGATTAAGCTGCATTTAAATTAACGCATATACAATAGACACTTACATAGAATAAAGCACACGCTCGGTTACAATACAACTTGGCATTTATCATATCGTGTGATGGATCTACTTCTAATGCTTTTGAATAGGCTTCAAACGCTTTTGAATATCTATTATCATGGATGAATGCATTGCCTTCTTCTTTCAATTTCATAAGATTTTTAGCCCGTTTGTACACTTTCTGTGTTTCTGTATGATCTGGATGAAGTCGCAGAACATGCTGAAAATGACTAATTGCTTTATCTAAATGGTCCAAATAATACAGACATAAACCTCGGTAGAAAAGTAGGTCAACTGACGAGTCATGAGAATGGAGAAGGTTCCTAAAGTGAAAAAAGGACATTAATAAGATTAAGTGAACCCACTCAACCAAAATTTTGGCTTCTGTAAATCGTTTCAGTTGGATAAGCACGTTAACCTTTTGTAAATTAAAATCCAATGAAGCTGGGGATATTTCAATACACTTTGTGATTAAGTAAAGGGCCTATTACAAAATATTTTCAATACCATGGAAAAATACATACGTGTCTGAAATCAGATGAGGAGAATTTTTTTTCAAACGATCGATATGTTTCTGATAGTAGCTCAATCTTCTCAAGCTATGCATTCCATTAGTTAATAGTCAAAGCTTAATTACCAATGATGATAGTTCAGTATTAGCCGGTTCCAACTGTTTGATCATTGTACAAGACGTTTAGCTTCATTTAAATCACCCAGTGTAATACAGCACTTTACACAGCGCAGCAGAGATTTTACATTTTGAGAATCTAAATTAATACTTCTATTAGAGTTCCAGTATATACAAATGTCAAAATGAAAACCTGCAAGCATCTTTATAAGCATCCAGAGGTTTATTTATCATGAGATATGCTGCTGACCGATTGTTGTACAGGAGTGCATTGTTACTGTCTACATTTATACCCTTTGTGTACCATACAATGGCCTCGTCATACAATCCTTGTTTATAGCACTCATTCCCTTTGTTTTTGTATTCCTCTGCTTGCAATCGTTCAGTTTCCGCTAACACGCCAGCCATTTAACCTACAAAGTAAGACCCATAAACGTATAAGTATTTAAAAAAGGTTGAAATAAATCCCAGGAAAAATTCCAATACGTGACTTTAAAAAAGTAATTCAAGACGCGTTTCCACACACCTAATCCCACACTGTACAACGTAAAACACCTTTCTCATCGGTCAGTAATCAACAACAGGCTAAGACGAACAAACAAATAAGTCAGTGAATCTCTTCATATTACTATACGCAGAAAACAACAAAATAAAGATAATGAAATAGAGGATAAAAGTAGTTGGATAGTCAAAACAATAATTACTTCATCAACAATTGAGATATTTACAGCACACTATTGAAACCGTATCGTATGTACTCGTCTTTAAATGTAAAATAGGGTTGTCATACTCAGAATGAGTAGTGCCCAACCGTTGCATAGTTTGTGAATACACCAAAAGCGATAAACGAGTAAAAGGTGTTCGTTGTTGAGGAGGAAGCAACTACAAGTATACTACCAAAATGTTACACATAGTTATCAGTAAGAAAAGGAAGCATAAAGTTAGTGGGATGTACATTTCGTGTGTGCCTGCAAGCCAGTAAAAAGACAAGAGGTATCGCATGCACGACTGCGTCACACGTGCACATGAAAGTTTGTATATAGAGAGGAAATGAGTAAAGATTTACCTGAGTATGATAGTCATGTTCGTTTTGAATTTTGTCGTATAAACATCAGTGAAGATAATTCATCATTACGGATCAAAAACACATAAACATTACCATATTCCTATGTTTCATTCTAAGTGAATGATGAGAGGAAACTGATGCTGATGAACTCTGAATATCAACTTGAAAGGAACAAACACATCAGTCTTATAACTCTGGTCAGAGTTACGATAGCCTGTAATAAGTCATAGCAGCAGGACATGATAACAGGGATATTAGAGAATAGTGGTATGGTATAGTAAAACCGTGTTTTGTCATAGGGATGCACAGTATATCTTTACCTTATATAATTGTGTCAACATAGTTGATTTTAACTCACTTATTCAGCAGCTATGAGGTACCAGTTCATTTGATTATTATCTGAAGTTACTGAGACTTCCCAGACGCATTACCAAGAACTGGAGTATGTTGGAAGCGCACTTCACCCATATTAGACGCAAGATGACAGTACTGGTTTGGGAGAACATCTTACTAAAGGATAAGAAGTAATCGTGAGTGAAGAAGCTGACCTATTCATTTTAGGAAGTGCATTGGTTTGTGTCATTGAGGGAATCTCAGCACGGACACATCACCGAAAAAGTGAAAATTTGCTTCTCTTAGTTGGACTATTCCTTCTCCCATGTCCACGTTATTTATTAACAGTGTAAAGTTATGAACTACACATTATATGGCTTAGTGAAACTGCTGTAAACATTTTTATACATCGAAACTTATGTACTTTGTCCAAAGTTGTAGGTTGATACGCTAGTGATCAGTGAAGAACAAAGAGAAGGAATTTATTAAGTCAATCTTCCTTCTGAACGTTACCAGGATTATAAGTGATTAGGCTAAACGTAATGATTACGCTACCGCAGGTGTCGACAATGAAGTAGAATGCATTTGGTGGGATTCTATCCGACAGTGAAGACATTATGTCAGATAGGGTTGATGCTTAAGATCGGCCTAGCTAACCCGAGACTCTAAATATCCTTAAGTTTGATATGGAGCGAAAAAGGACTGGAATTCAAACGATTAGATGGCCGAGAACGATTGTTTCACCGAATTTCTTAGTAAAACATGCAAACTCGAAACGAAAACAAGCCATAACTTGCCACTGCGGGTAATGAAGTTGTAACTGGCGCCGAAAAAATGTGTGTAAAAAACCCCCACTGTGATTGGCCGATATTCTTGGAGGCATTCTTAATTTAAGCATTGCTTTATGAATGAGAATGGAAATGTGTAAGTCTGTGTTAATCCTTTTTAATGAATATCTGTGCCCGTCTCACTTCTCATTGTGGTAAACAAATCGTTAAGATAATTCGCCTCCAGCACTGTTCATCCAATATTGAGTACTGACCTTCAGTATTTAAGTGGATTTGTTAAACTGAATGTGCGCACCCCATTTAACACATTATCATAATACGTTTGGACATTTGTGCACACAACCTAGCTAATTATTCAGTCATCAACTGAAATTTCTCATGTCAAAACAGATCACATCTTGGATGATTGATTTGCTGTCTGGTGTCGTCTCCGGTCTAAGTCACACAGGTATCTTAGAAGTTAGAGGATAAACACATGCATTTGCATACAGTGTATCTCACATGACCGTCAGCATCTTTTGCTTTCTTAACCCTCTTTGAAAGACTCCATTAGGGGAGCATACACCAGCTCTTCTGGGAGTCTTCTTTAAGTTCATGACATAATAGTCGAGCTGATACTCCAAACCCATATAGCTCTAACTTGGCCCCTAAACCCTCCTGGTATGTTCCCTGAGGCGTTCCGATCTGCTCGGAAGAAAAAAGGAAATAGATTAGGTTCCTACTATTTCTTTAGAACTCTGAACATTGTGATGAAATCTCCGTCCGCTCTATGAGAAGGAAAGAAGATGCAGACTATTAAGTATTCCATCGTATAGTAAGCCGGCAATCCCAGGAATCACAAGAGCGAACCTAATTTAAATCCTTTCTATAACACATGGCTCCCATTAGACAAGAGCTAGCTGTCTGCATGCAGTTTTCTTTCTGTTACCTCACCAGAAACGCATTTTAGGCCGTGACCATTCTACTGGTTATTCCGCTGAAGGCTCTGCGTAATACCCACGAGGATCTGGGAGTTCGAGATGACTCTACACAACGGCGTAAGTCAGCTCCCGGTACTTACTTCCCATGGCAACTAGGTTAATGTTGATCTGAAGTGAAGGGGCGGCATTCTCTTTGTTTAATATGTGCAGACACTTGGATCTCAAGTCTCAATCGCGAGCTTCCTTAGGTTGATGGGATTTTGATCTTCTATGCATTCAAGGAAATACGATGAACCCAGCCAACTCGCTGATATTAAAAATAAGATAGGACCGAATGCAGTAGCTCGTAGCACGCCGTTACGTACAGTAGTCCAAGAATGGAGATCTACTTTGGCTCTGACTCAGCCTCAGAACTGCGAGTAATTGAGTGCTCCACTTGAGCAGACTGTCCTCGATTCTAGAAATTTTCACTCTCGTGGATATTGTGTGATGTACGTTGTTGAAAGCCCTGTTAAAATTTGTCAGCAAAGTCAACATGTTTCTCGCTACCCCTGCACTCATCCATCTTTCCTTTGATGTTAGACCCGTCAAATAGATGTAGCCTCCCTAGGTCCACGATGTGGGTAGAATATGTTGTCACTTTCCAAGATAGAACGACAGAATTCTTGGCTGCCTTTTCAGTTCATTCATCGAGCTCCTGATAAGAACTATTTGTATCACTTTGGAAGACTGTCAAGATCCTGTCTTATGTATGAAGGTCACTATATCATCCTTCTACTCACCCGGAAACACTGGATGTGGCTGGGAATACTTTGAACATTATAATAAACTGACCAATTACATGAATCATAAGCTTATTGAGAAGATTTGGGTGAAGTTCATCATGCTATCGTGGTCTTGCTGTATGTGATTTGCCCATGAATTACAATGCAGTGTTTGTATTGCTGTCGAGGCAGTCTTCCTTGTTTTTTAGTGACGCTATCGGATCTCGTTCGGTCACAGATGGCGATACTTGCGGAAAAGATTCTGAAGAAGTAATCGGCTACTGCTTCAGCTTTTATCTGATCTTCTTGCATAGTTCCCCTCTGAGGCCGAGGACTACTTGGAACGTCTTTTTCCTGAAACCAATGCGAAACAACAGAATCTGGGGTTACACCATAACCTTCTCGGACAGTTGCACCTCTGATTTCATTCGTAACTGGCGAATTCCTAGAATAGCTTTGTTTGCGGTCGTAATTTTATTTATTTATTTCATTTTTTACTTTTGATTACATCTTGATTCCACACCGTGTATTTTGGACAAGTGTGGAGTTTTCAGCGTGGATATCGGTAGCCCGAAATTCGCAGGCCGACCATAGATATCAGGTGTGCGTCGGCGTAGGCTCGAACCCCGGACCATGTGTATGGTTGGCGAGAGTCCTAACCACTGTGCCACCGACGCGGGTCGGAAAACCTGGAGGTGATAAATATGTTCCTGCAACTGATTTTGAGCCTAAGTATTCTGCGAATCTCCTGGTTTCTCCACAAATGATAATGTTTTTGATGCTAATCTTTCCGTCTGTCCTTTTCCAGCATTTTAACGAAGCAGTCCTCTAATCACTCCACTGTGGTAAATGCCGAGAATTCCGTGCTTTACAATAAGTACGTTTTTGGAATGAAGATTATTATGTTAAAAGGTTACAAAAGTGTAGCGGTAAATAATTCCCCAAAATTATTGACCACAGCAATCACTCACCATTGGATGCTGACCACCACTGTTTAAGTCGACTTGTTTAGCTGAAGGCTTCCGGTCAAGCATCACTGCCATTTGGTATCCCGTCGTGTCACGTGCACGATCACTAGCCAGCTAAGCGTTCGTCTGACTGCTTATTTGGTCCCGAAATATATCACGTAGTTTGGACGATCAAATATTGGCTTTTGCTTTGTTGTTGGTACGCGAGAATAAATAAGTTAGAAGTTGCTGAACAAGAATTCCATCAACCTTTAAACTGGTGAGCTCAACCGCGAACTTCATCCACGATAAATCCGCAGATAAACCCGGTGAGTTCGTTCCATTTTGTATTTGTTCTTGTACCATATATTATTCGACGTAATTTTCGTCATGAGTGATCTTAGTCCCAAGGTCATTCGTATCCGCTGAACTCCTAAAACCATTCAGCTTGTACCATACTGGCCAGATAATGCTGAACCGTGGTTTCAGCTGGTTGAAGCAGATTTTTGTGAGCATGGGATAACCGATCAACGTTCACAGTTACTTGCAGTTATTCACGCCCTACCGCGGGAATTCAGCCAGCACGTAACTTCACAGATGTTGAGTCCCGAGGTAAGTAACTCGTACGAGTTGCTCAAAGCATCCCTCCTCAGGAGAAACGTTCTCACGGACCGACAACGTCTAGATGAATTATTTCGTAACATCGAGTTAGGAGATCAGTCAGCCGTGAGCATGCTGACAAGAATGAGAGAAGTTATTGGCCAAAGTCAGTTCGACGAAGGACTATTTAGAGAACTCTTCTTATCCAAGCTGCCACAGTCTGTACAGACCATACTTGTGACACTTCAGGGTGTTGCAATGAATGACTTAGCTATTACTGCAGATAGGATTCTAGAAATAACTAAACGGTCTGTTCCCGAAATATGCTCGATGACTAAGCAGACTTCGAGTAAGGATCCTGCAATGATAGAGTTATGCAACTCCATCCAGCAGATGTTTAGGTCAAACATGCATTCTAACTCCTCCGACCGTCGTCCTAAATCTCCTCAACGCAGAAACTCACGTGGTCGATCTAAGTCCAAACCACGTTCACTGAAAAACCCTGACTGGTGCTGGTACCACAATGCCTATGGCCAAGAAGCGAAGTGTTGCCGTAAACCTTGTAACTTCGGAAATGTCTCAAAGTCTGTGGGAAACTATCCCGCCGGCACGCGTTAGCGGAAACCGTCGCCGGTGGCACTAGCCGCCTACTTTACATCCATGATGTGATTAGCCAGACTCGATACTTAGTCGACACAAGCGCCGAAGTCAGCGTCCTTCCGGCTACAGCATCAGATCGACAGAAGGAACCTACCTTCAACTTACAGGCTGCAAATGGAAAACCAATCGCAACCTTCGGTAGAAAATACGTCTATCTGAACGTAGGTTTACGCAAACCTATTCGGTGGATTTTCCTTCTCGCTGAAGTTACAATGCCCATCATTGGCACGGACCTACTTAATCATCATGATTTACTCGTAGACGCCCGCCGAAAACGACTGATTGACAACACTACTAGTGTGTCTATCAAAGGCATCACCCACATAGGCCCCAGTCTGTCACCCGTTAAGATAAAGGCAATCATTGATCCAACTTTTCAACCTATGGTTGACAAATATCCTGAACTTAATTGCCCGTCGAACGACCTACCGTGCATAACCAGCAATGTTATGCACCACATCATTACCACAGGACAACCTGTGACATCTAAAGCACGACGATTAGCTCCTGACAAACTGAGAATCGCCAGGAATGAATTTGACCATATGCTTACCCTTGGCATCATTCGACCTTCGAATAGCCCATGGGCATCCCCACTTCATATGGTTCCGAAAAAGGATAGCAATGATTGGCGACCCACCGGTGATTACCGGCGAGTGAATGCCAAAACAACCCCTGATTGCTAACCGCTGCCTCATATACACGACTTAACGGCAACCTTATCTGCCGCGACTATATTCTCTAAAATCGACTTGGTTAAAGCGTATAACCAAATCCCGATGACAACAGAAGACATCCCGAAAACGGCTATCATTACGCCTTTCGGACTTTTTGAATTTCTACGTATGCCATTCGGTCTCCAGAATGCGAGCCAAAACGTTCCAATGCTTCATCGACGAAGTATTTCGCAGTCTCGACTTTGTATACGCATACTTAGACGACTGCCTCAGTGCCAGTCCAGACAAGGAAACTCACATTAGACATTTGGACTTGGCATTTGAAAGGTTACGCCAGGATGGTGTTACCATCAATATTCAAAAGTGTCAAATGGGTGTTGACTCACCCGATATCCTGGGTCATACTATTGACTGAAAGGGCATCCGGAAACTAGCTACTA